AGAGAGAGAGAGAGAGAGAGAGAGAGAGAGAGAGAGAGAGAGAGAGAGAGAGAGAGAGAGGGCGAAGGAGAGGGAGAGGGAGAGATTATGTTTGGCGTTTTTTCGATTAAGAATATACCCAATGTATTTGAGACAATCGAAATGTTTTTAATGATTCCCGATTACAAAATTTTGTGGATAAGGCTTGAATACGAAACTCTTCCTCTCTCCCTCAGTCTCGTTTACACTCATAAGCACACTCAAAGTCACACTTGCTTGGTCACACATTCGATTACCACTGAAAATATTAAACTTGTATCTCGTAGATACCAAAGATAAGTTCGGTTTTAGTCGTTAGAAAACTCCTAACTGGTAACATAATTCATGGCCCGTCTGATCACACTTACGAATTATACAATTGTTAAACTCAATTTATTCTAAACAAGTTTGGAAACGAACACGGGTGTCATCCGATTTCGAGAACAAACATTTTTCGTACAACTATCGTTTAAGGTATAGAGATAAGAAGGTTACGCTAAGTTAAGATTTTACTAAACTACTTACGAATTATTGTCAAACTGTAATATGTATTATATGTCTTTTTTATCTTCTTTTCTTCTTTTTGTAAAATCTAACGGTAATAAAGAAATCGTCGAGAAAAAAAGATGCGACCATTTTCCTTAAAATATAGAACGCTAGACCTAGAGATGACACTTGCTTGCATGCTTGCTGGTTTCTTTAATAAACAGTTATACAGGAACGTTAAGAAGAAGAAGAAGAAGAAGAGTAAATAATGTTACAGTTTGTATCACAAATGTCACAAATCAAGGATCACAATTGTCAATGCATAGTCGAATCAATGCTCGGTCTCGCATACACAAAGCTAGCCGCATCGATGCTCATCGATTGGTGTAGCAGCGTAAATCGGTCGCGTGTCATCCGTTGATGTTAAACGTCTGCTGGCGCACGAGTTCCGTTTCGCTCGTGTTCGAGAGAGGAAAGTCGCGCGATTTGTTCGTTGTTTCGTCAGGAAGCTCGTTCGATTTCGTAATTAATCGTAATTTAAATTCAGTATATTCGGTGAATCGTAGCGTAGATTACGCTTACATTCATTTTTTTAGAGTTATTTGTAAAAGATTTGTCGCGAAGGTGCGCGGCGATTGGCTCGGCAGAAATTTGTCGATAGCAGGGCATAAAATAGCTGTCGAGCGAGCGGTTCGGTTCCATCGAGGCTTTCGCGAAAGACGCGATCGCAAGCTCATCGGAAAAAGTGTCCGGTAAGTAGTTCGTAAATAAGCTCGGAGATATGTATTAATCTCCGATCACGTTCGACGGAACATATATTCGCGAATTTATGAATCGACGGTAGATATTGTCGGTAATCGAGCGCACGACGATACGCTATTCAAATCCATTTCAAGCCATCTCGATAATTCGAGCGAACCTCGATTCTCACTTTGAAGACGAAATTCAACATACCAAGTGTCCCGGTCCCGGTCCCGGTCCCGATCCCGATCTCGGTGCGTCAGTTTCGACGTAAATCTCGACACGAGTCTCGCCGTTTGTTGGCTCGCGTGGCGTCTCGTTATTACCATGTTCGTAAAACGTTTTCGTCGAGAGCATCGTTAACGTTGAAAAGCGTACTGGACACAATAAATCCTCATTCCTCGTCGGCCTACTTTCAATTAGCCCCTCTAATTGCCGACGACCGAATGGTTTCGTGTTTCAGCTTGAAAAGTTCGCGACTCGCCGAGGGATCTCCGTGTCCTGGAAACAAACTTTTCCACATATTCCTCGTACTCGACCAGACGTGAACGTAATCGCGATCGCGAACCACGGAATTATGTAAAAATATCAATTGTTGCTAATTCTCGGAGTTTATATAAATCCGTTTGAGGATCTCGTGGAAACTCGCAGTGCCAGTTTACGTCTACCGAGTGCAGTTGAACGTGTTCGAGCCTCGACGCACTACAAGTTTCTCTTGCTGTAAAAGCTTCCGAGATTCGCGTCGTCGAAGAATCATCGAAACGATAAAACGGTATTTTCCTTGAAACGAGTCAATTAAAAATAGTGACAGGAACAAGTACCGAACGCTACACTTGAAACGATTTTTTCTTTTTCTTTTTCTTTTTCTTTTTCTTTTTCTTTTTCTCCTCCCATCCCCATTCCCCCTCTAATCGTACTTGGATGCTATTTTTATGAATTCCATGTTAGAGAATCCAGCGAGTTGCTTGCATTTCAACTACTAGTTTAGAGCGTGCGTTGATTGCAAACGATGCAATTATTTCCACACGAGAAATTCGTCGAATGGAATGGCTTTTTTTATGAAAACAGAAGCAAATCACGGCAACCGACAGCGATGGCGACGCGACGTTGCAGGTGATTATACGGAAACTGCTTTCATAAATTATGCAATTTATCTTAGAGAACTCGAAAGCTTTATTCGCATAACAATGAATGTGGTAAATCGAATAGCCTGCGAAAGCTTAGTAGTTCTCTGACCCTTTGGACGTTTCTCTCGTCCTCGCGAAAGAAGAGCATCTTACAATTAATGCTTGGCCTTCTTCTCGATCGCTTCGCCAACGATTCCCTCTTCAATTTTATTATTACTTATAAAATCGCGCAAACATCGTCGACGAAACTCTATCTTAAGTTTAATGCCTTTGAGAGATTCGATCGACGCCGACGGCGACGATCGCGTGTCGACAATTCGAAAAGAAGTCGTCCCGATCGATGCAACTCTAGCAATCGTACATTAATCATCGAATAGTGCCTATTGGCAACGATCGACAGTTGTCGAGAACGGTGATGCAAGTTTTATCATTTTTACAATACAATCTAACAATCGGAGCTGTTAAAAGAACACGAACAACGGTATTTTGTTCATTTTCCAATGGAACTTACTAAGTACTAATAGATAGAAAAAGTAGGAATGCCATTGAATGTACCGATACCTTAACCAATCTACTTTTGCCTCCCCTCCCCACCCCTCCAGCGCTGCATTGCCAATTGGTCATCGTTGTACGAATTAAGGGTATAAGCTATACATACACCTTCGTTTAATAGTAAAGTGCGGCTCGTAGAGTAACTCGCACCGATCACCGTGAAAATCCTCTGATTATCAGTGAAAGAGAGAATAAGAGAAAGAAAAAGAAAGAGAAACAGAAAATGAAAGAATAATTACTACCCGTACGCGCGAGTGTGTGAAACGATCGACAGCCTGTGAAGGAGAAACGAGCTTTATCGGTTCAAGGAAACAAAAGTATTCGAATTAAAATGGGAAAGGTATTGCCTCGACAAAGTTTTACGTTACCGCTCGGTTTTTCGTTGCACGTTCATAACACGCATTCCGTGTACATCAAATATCGTCTCAATGTTAAATAAAGAATCCCGTGTATTTATTTTCTTTCGTAAACAGGAAATGTTGTCCGTGACGAGTGGAAAACACCAAGTATGTCTACTATTCTTCGTTCAGATCGTCCTAATTGTGATAATGGGAGCGTTGATGACATATGGTCCAGAGGCGAACGCTAACTTGTTAAAAAATCACGCAGGTCAGTGTAGTCGCTACTCGTGTCAGCTAGCTTAGCGCGACACAGAAACGATGCCGTAACCGCGAATAAATAATTACGTAACTTGTCACGAACCATACCGATCCTTCGTCGATGAATACACATATTCTCGGATTGTGAGTGCCGCGGCGCGGCAGACACGTAACTTTTCAATCTTGATCTCTGTTTTTTCAAATACCTTTCGTTTTACATGTAAAAATGATCAAATTTCATATTTCTGTCCCGCACCAGTATCTCAGATTCAACAGATCAGAATCAACAGATTCGTTGGAATCGTTACATATTTGACGGGCTTCGCGAGCGATATAACAGAGTAATTAAACTTCCAGGTAACCGTGAGGTTTGGCTATCCGTAAAAAAGTCAGAGAACGACCCGTTGCGAGTTTATCCAAGTGAGTAAATCGTATTACTTAGATCCTATGTAGATTTATATTTGTTTTGTGAAACACACATTCTCGAAATTTCACTATCTCGTGTAAAAAGCATCTAATACACGGCCAAAGTATTTTTCGTCAATTTGTCTACACGATCCAAAAAGTAAGGATTCGTACGATTGAATAGTAGGTACATAGGTACGTATGTATCTGTATGTTGACGCGTTCATCCGTTTCGTGTAGCTAACGCTAGAAAATCGACCATGCCATTTTCTCGATGCGCGTATCACGTGCAAACAATTGAATATTATTCAAGTCACGATCATTGTAATGTTTACGGTTCACGATTTAGATACAAAGAAAATCTCGATCTTTTAAAGAATTGCTTGCAAAACAAATGTAAATTATACCGCGTAACGCCAACGTTACGACAGCTCCTTTGAGATGGCTTTTAACCAGAATCGATCCGAACCGTGCTAATATCGTAGTTGGCAAGAAAATGCGAGAGATGATCAAATCAAACAATTGGCAAGCTGTGCCTTTCTTAAGTAGTGGACATTAAATGTTTAGGTGAAACCGATGAAAAATTACAAACTTTGCTGGAACTGAGAAACGACGAGAAAGCATACCTCTGAAAGATAACAAGTGAGACTCGTACGTAATATCCCAAGAAACTCGTGTATATACGTGTATGTACATATACAAATAGCAATGCAAAGGGTCGACGTCGTCGTCGTCGTCCCTTAATGATTGGTATCAAATTTTTAATACCGATACCAATGTATAGCATCGATAAATCGATACTTGAATCGTTAGTTATCTGTTATTAAGACGTTCCGTGTAACAAACGGATTGCACCGGGACGTGAATTATTCGGAGTCACGTCACGCCATGGTGCGGTCTCAGAGACACGGAATGGAATGGCTCGCGTATAAGTTTGCGGTTATCTTGAAATCCGTTGCAGCGAAATTGCGTCCTTTCTCTCGGGCAGCCTGTTGGCGTGTAATTGCGGCGATCAATTAACGCGCGATTAACACCACTCCGCTCCTCTGAAGGAACGAGCGAGCAAAAAAGCGGACCGCACGCAAACCATGGATAGATATGCTTACAAACGGCTTTTTCTCTTTTTCCTTTTGTCTCTCCAATGTTCCGGACGTCAATAAAACGCTTCAGTGTATCAAGATGTTCACGTAATGATCTGGATCGGCTTCGGTTTCCTGATGACATTCCTAAAAAAATACGGACAAAGCGCCGTAGGATTCACGTTTCTGGTTGGCGCGCTCCTCGTCCAGGTCGCCATCATTTGCGACGGGATCGTCAACATCGATAACAACAATAAAGCCTATTTATCTCTGGAAAGGTTAGTAAAAATATAGTAGGTAAATTCAATTCGACGCATTCTATTCTACGATAATACGGGTAAATATCCCGAAATAACCACGTTTAGCCTTTTGAGCGCCGACGTTGCAGTGGCCGCGCCGTTGATATCCATGGGCGCGCTTCTCGGTAAGACGAGCTACGTACAACTCGTGTTCATGGGAATCCTCGAGCTGATCATCTTTACCGCGAACAAGTATATAGGGGAGCATCTACTCATGGTAAATTTCATTATAGTATATCGCTGATGCGTTGCGAGTTGCGAGTTGCGAGTTGCGAGTTGCGAGCCACGACAGAGAAAATATTGTAAAACGTTTGCGATAATAGGCCGTCGACGCCGGTGACAGCATGTATGTCCATACATTCGGGGCGTACTTCGGATTAGCCGTCAGTTTCGTGCTCGGAATGAAGGAGAAACCGAAAAAACATCACCTCGAGGGACCTTCCTACAACTCGGATATATTCGCTATGATTGGTTTGTTTATCAATCTTTTATATATGTACGTATCAACAAGTAACAAGTAATCGTTTATTTGCGACCAGGCACTGTATTCCTGTGGCTGTTCTGGCCATCTTTCAACAGCGCCGCCCTACAAGGGGACAGTCAACAGAGAGCCATAATAAACACCTTATTGTCGATATCTGCTAGCTGCGTGATCGGGTTCGCAACCTCGGCGCTGCTCTCCAAAGACGCGAAATTCAACATGGTTCACGTGCAGAATTCGACGTTAGCCGGTGGTGTAGCCATCGGCACTGCTGCAGGTACGCACCACCACCACCGATCATTAATTCACCGCTGGCTGACCCATGTAGGCTCGTAACAAATCTGACCAAACGACTGATTCGAGCATTTTCTCACTAAACGCAGCCATGATGTGCGAGCCAGTAGGTGCTTTGCTCGTGGGCTCTGTAGCCGGCTTACTCAGCGTACTCGGATACAAATATCTCACGGTAATTCATTCCTTTTCTACCCATAAGCCACGCGATTCGCAGTCTCATTCAAACATTGCATAATTACATAATTACACAATTACACGATAGAATACGTTAATAGTTTGAACTTTGAACCCGTTAACCCGTGCTGGTGCTCGCCCACCAACCTCAACTTTAACTCTTAGTCTGTTGTTTGTTCAGCCCTTTATACAAAAACGTCTCCGTATCCACGACACGTGCGGCGTACACAACCTCCACGGGATGCCTGGCGTCCTAGCTGGCATTTTTGGCGCGATCCTGGCTGCCCTAGCCACGGAAGCCTCATACGATTATTCCCTTTATCGAGTACGTACCATTCATCTCCCTCCCTTTTAATACACGAGTAACTAATTGTGAGTAGGTATATTTAAACATGTTCATCTTTCTTTCGTTAGATCTTTCCTGCTCGAGCGCCATCCTCGGACATCAAACTAGCCTCGATCAAAGACAATTATGATATATTGGCTGGACTCGATAGAACAGCGGGCCAGCAAGCGTCCTATCAATTATTAGCACTTGTCGTCACTATCGGCATTGCCATTGTTTCAGGATTAGTAACAGGTAATTGTCATTTTTAGATTCTGGACTATAACGAACCTAAAATTTAAACCACCCTCGTCGGCTTTTCACTGTTACACGATAAATACGATTATCGTGCGCATCGCTCGATTTCTCGTAGGTCTAGCGATGAGGGCACCGTTTTTTCGATCGATTTTGGACGAGCAGAAATTTGACGATGAAGCCCATTGGGAACTAGAAGAAGAATCGTCGCAACAATCAAAAATTCAAGAAAGAAACAACTCTGGTGATCAGTTACCAATGGGTCCTATTTGAAGCAAGCCTCTGTTACCTGCTATTGGCTGCGTTAACACGGCACACGCGGCATTATAAATAGTTTTTTTAAATTTCTGACAATTGTTAATCGAATCAACGAATTTCACATGGAAAGGAAAATATATATGTATGTAAAAACAGACGTATAATATATATATATATATATATATATATATATATCTTTCCAAGTGTATTATTTATATTTTTTTTTAAACTTTCTATAAATTTATACAATAAATAACTTTTAACATAAACAAATTTAATACGTAGATAATAGAACGTTTAACCTAACGTAAATTAAAAAAAGTGTGTCCGACCGACTCCCTTTTATTCTCAACGTATCGAAAACGATATATGTATAATATGTATCTCTTAACATATACATATATATTTATTGTACACTCTAAATTTGTTTATATAATTATCGTCATACCAATAATGATTCCGTTTTCTCAATTCATCGATAACAATCCTATGGTGTATCGTAATATTTTATTAATCGATCAACAATTATTTCATCAGAGCGTGTACTACAGCTTTCGCGTTTAATGACTTCAGGTCTGTATAAGTTTGTCCAGTACCAACGAAAACGATAGGTTGTCCGGTAATGTATGTCATAGAAATCGCTGCGCCTACCTGAAAATTATGCATCAACGATAAATATGTTAAGTATTACGAGTAATACCACCCTCTCGTTTCGTGTATTCTCTACAACAAATTATTCTTCTCAGTATCGTGTACCGGAATAGATCGTATTTTATGTACCTTATCATCGATTGTATCAAACTTAGTCAATACGATGCCATCAATGATGTGAGGATTGCTGGATTGACTATGATCAGCTAATGCTTGATTGAATTTCACTAATTGATCGACAGCTTCGTTTCCAACTAGTGCCTCGCCAACGAAAAGTACTAGATCCGGTTCGTTCACTTTTATCAACTTAGCCAACGCTCTCATCAATGGTTCGTTATCTTGCATTCTACCAGCAGTGTCTACCAACACTACATCGATTTTTGAATCCTTAGCAAACCGTATCGCTTCCATAGCTATACCAGCTGCATCTTTACCGTAACCTTTTTCGTATAATTGCACCATAGATTGATTCCCGTGCTTCTCTGGCGGATGAAGTGCATTTAAATGACGCATATGTGTCCTCAGTTGTTCAACTGCACCAGCTCTGACAGAAAACACATAGACGTTACAACCTATCCACCTTCCGTTCATTTATACTCGAATAACCACAAATAATAACAACAAACACGGTAGTTTAGCTTAGCTTGGCATACCTAAATGTATCGCACGCAGCAATAAGCACACGGAAATTGTTTTCTATCAGCCAGAAACAAATTTTCGCCAAGTTAGTCGATTTCCCTACTCCGTTTACGCCGCAAAATGTCATCACGTATGGTCTGTTATTTTTTTTCGCTTCCATTGCGTCTCGTAAAATATCGACTCGTCTTTTTGGAGAAAGTATTTGCACTAACGCGTCTGTTAACGTTGACTTTACGGTATTCGTCACGCTCTCGAATGTCCCGAGTACCTTTCCTTCGAGTTTCACGCCGACGGAATCACATAATTTCTGAGAAATGTCAGCAGCGACGTTTTTCGATATTAAATGATCCTTTAGCTTGTCTAAAACCGAGGCCATGTCTTCGTGTTTCAAGCTCTTCGCGCCAACCAGGCTCTTGAACATCGAGAACATACTACTGCTCCTTTTTTCTACTCGCGGTTTCAAAGTTTCAATTTCCTGATCGGATTCATCTTCGGATTCGGTATCAACTTCCAAGTCACGAATACCACCTTTCATTTGGCCCACTAACTAAACCAAATTTAACAAAAACAAAAACACTTTTTTTTATACCGCACAAATAATTCAATATATAGGATAGCTATTGAAAATTATAAATTTACTCTTTTATCAGCTGCAACATAATCACCGCTTTCTTCCGGCTTATCTTTCGTACGCTCTAGAGTAGCAAGATCTTTAACGGTTCCACCTAATTCCCAAACACGAGGTTTTTTCCCAGCTTTTTCGGGTTTAGGGCTTTTTCTATTGAATATAAATTACACGTTCCAATTACCGTTAATTATATGTATCTATGTATGCATATATGTATGTATTTATGTATGTATGTGTGTAATAACATATATTTATCTACTTTTTAAATAACATACTGTTTATCAACTTTCTTTTTTTGACTATTCAATTTCTGAACCAATTTCATACGGTTCGCGATTAAAGTCTCTTCATCTATTTCTCCATTCTGATTATTCGATATATCCTGCTTTGGACCCTCTTGAATTTTTGCTGAAGAGCCAAATAAAGAACAACCATCATAGACGCGATCATAGATTCATTTGAAATATTAGCGAGGGTTAATATCTAGTCGAGGAAACTATTTAAACTATTTCAAAATTAAAATCAAATAAAACAGACAGAACTCTGCTTTCCCTTAATACCGCGCGTATCGTTAATACCGTTCATTCACAAAGGTAACGTCTTATTATTCGTGCACGTAAAATTCAAAATCACTTACATTGATCGTCTTTATTAGTATCAACTCCCTTCTTCTTTTTACCTAGAAGCCAAGAATATGATTCCTATTTCCTGTTAGCGATACCCACATTGGAAAAAACATATTACTACCTAAATGGAAATTGCTTGTGATTCTATATCGCGTCAATGTAGACAAATATCCTCGGTAGCTTGATAGAAACTTGTCAGCCAGCAGAAAAAAGCAGAACAAACGATTGAAAAATTTCGTAACCGGTTGAGAACTGTATGCGTTTAAAAATTATATACGAGCTACTTTAAACGCATCTATATAAAGTGCCAATAACGATGCGCATAAAAACTAAAGACTTCTAAACTATAACTAATAAATATAGACGAGTAATAATATTATAGGCTACCCGTACAAAAGATACTTTATATAAATAAAATTTCTGCGCAACCAAACTTTAACGCTACATTTTTTTTACGTACCCTGTTTCTTATTATCTTTCTCATCCTTCCGTTCAATCATACTTGCAACAGTCTTTTTTGATTTTTGACTCTCGTCGAATGTACGCATTTGCTTGGGTAATTTAGCCTGAGTTCGTGCCCATTGCTCAGCCATAATAAGCACATTCTCGTAATTATTTTGAAAGTTAAAATTACAAAACCACTGGGACCTCTCCAATTCATTTTTAAATTTATCTCTGAATTCCAAATGAATATCGTTTAAAAATTTATCTACGTAAGATAACTGTAATATTTTCTGGTACGCGACAACAAACACTAGCTCGAATTCATTATCGAGTTTGTACTGTAAACGTAGGGAATCGTATTCAAACGTATGATTTCCTGTACGTTCCTGAAAACAAAATTGTAAAACTTTTCATTATAAAAGTATTAATTACGAACAGTTTATACATTTTATGTATAACTTGTATTTTTTGTTGCGTAGCTTGTATCTCTGATAATATTCCATATGGATAAAGTGAAATTTCAGAAAAAAAAATAAGGAATCTTGACAGGCGACTTACTTGCAATATGACACTTCGTATCAACGCATTAACGCTGGGTGCAAATATTTGCGAGGTACTTTGAAAACACCAAAGCACAATTCCACCTTTACTAAATATAGTAAATAAGTCGAGCATAATTGCACGATTTATTAGTGATAAAAAAATGTTTTAAATTCAATGGTAAGATCTAACCTACTAGTGATCATGCACTTTGATTTTTGTACACGTCAGATACTGCGTGATCCTTAGAATAAAAACTACAAGATCGGAAACCAAAAATAGGCTGATCGTAATATCATAAACTATAAGCTATAAGGCACTGAACTATAATAACAATAAGTACAGTTTCTAGTGAAACTATTACAGCTGAATTAAACATTTTCATTGCAAATTTTGTAATTTCAATGCATTAGTCGAGCCTTGATCGACATGCGACCGCAAAGGGTTAAAGCATGCGATTTATGGACACACAAATGGTATGGAGCGGACGATGGAAGATGGAACAGTATGTTGCGTAGGCGTAGGCGTAGCCGACTACCGATTACCGACTACCGCGTAGAGAACCCGGGTTCGAATCCCAGCCGTTCGCGCCAGTTTTTCAATGAATGGCTGAAAAAAATGTATCGAAAACCTGTTATTTATTTAAATGTAAGAAAAACATATAATATTGTAAATGTAAAAATTTGTATCGGCACCTAGCGGTAAACAGACTAAACTAAATTTTCGAAAGTTGTATATGCGACACTTATTATACTCCCAGTATCTCATTTTCCTTATAATTAACTTAAAATACAATTAAATAATAACCGTAAGAAATAATAAAATGGTCAACGCGTGTGCAATTATGCTAAATTTATTATTATTTTAAATATTTTATTTAATACTAGTTTTAGTACTAGTGGCGCCATCGGTAGTAAAATGCCCAAGTTTGTAGTACAAATAGTAGTTCCCACTGTTACCACTAGATGGCGCCACTAACTACAAGTCTATAATTATTGCTGCATTAAATAACTATTCATAAAAATGATAAATTTTAGTGTTATTATAAAGCATCGAATCGTATTATTTATACATTTATGTTAAATAAAAAAATTGATCGTCAGTGATGCTATCTTACAGAAACAGTGGGAACTATTTTCACTAAAAACTTGCGCGTTTTGTCACCGATGGCGCCACTGGTATCAAGACCAGTATTAAATAAAATATTTAAATAAAAATGATAAATTTCACATAATCACACATGCGCCGACCATTTTAACATTTCCTACACTTATTATTTAAGTTTATTTTAAGTTAATTCTAAGGAAAATGAAATATTTGGAGTATAATAAATGTCGAGTATACATTCGAAAATTTAGTTCGGCCTATTTACCGCTAGACGGCGACACAATTTGTTTTATTTATTTGTTTTATAGTTCATAGAGTTACTTTTTTTTTGTTCCTATTTCACTTATCGTGTACATTACCTTTTTACATAACATCTTTCTCCTCGTTATCGTAATTTTTCATTACTTTTTATTTTTGTGCCACAGACTTTCGATACATTTTATTCAATTTTATTAGCCATACCTTGAAAAACTGAGTCGGACGACCGGTATTACGATACCATTTCTGTCCGTTAATCGTTTTTCATCCATTTGATTAGTGATGGTCTGATGATAGCGGTGTCTCTTATATTACACATGAAACAAAGAGACCCAAGTGTATTAAGTCGCCTTGTAGAAGAGATTTTTTTATATTTATTTGTTTCTCTAGATTACGTTTAATAAATAGTGGTCATCGGTATGAAATGTTGTATAATTTTTTTACATTTTATTCTTTATTTCATTCGTACAATGGTTATTTCTTTAAACTTAATAATGCATATTTCTTTATTCTCAGTGATAAAACTGTCGGTAGGCAGTGTATAACTATCATGTACACTTATGTTATAGGTCTATCTTATATATAATGCATGAATTACATATAAAAATGTGCAATGAAAACAATTTCATTACAGTTATATTATATACAGTAATTTACAAAAGCTGAAACGACTTTATGCTGATTTTTCTAAATGATTTTTATCTAAGGCTGTATTAAATTCATCATTCGAAGAATGCGAAAGTTGCAGACATCTTCCTTTTTCGCTTCTTTGTTAGATTCACTCAAATAAAACAGAACTATCATTACGATAGCGAGAAAAACCTGCAATAACAATGATTATATAAGACTAGATTTGTTACCTAATTAACCTTGTACAGAAACTAAATTTGTAATATGTACTTTAATATTGAAAACGTTAAATTAAGTTAAATTATACATACTTTGTACGTGTTAAGGCGCTTCCTCCTTTTGTTGGATCCATCATACGATCCCAATTTGTGTGACCAACTACAAACCCCACAGCACGCATTTTTTCTTGTTCTTTACGTTCTTCTAAATCTGCCCAACGTACCTATTGAATTGAATTGAATTGAATTGAATTGAATTGAATTGAATTGAATTGAATTGAATTGAATTGTATAAATGTTACATTAATAAGTTCAAGTTATATTATCCTCCATACCGCTGACAAATTGAAAGTGTACTTACACGTTTTTTACCAGAAGTATCTTCCATATTATAATAGTCGGGAACTTGAAGAAAATCTTTCATGGTTTGTACTTTTCCTTCGTTCTTCTTTCTTGCAAGCCCATCCAAACGATCTGCATTTTACATTTACATAAAGTAAATCAACGCTAAAGAAAAAATATCTTATACAATACACGACGACTAACCTAATTTATCTTCTGCTTCCATGCGTTCCCATTTGCTTACTCCCTAAAAAGAAAGAAATTAAATAGAAATTATTTATGTCTTTATTCAATAACATCTATTCGATCACCTTTAAAGTAATTCATATCGTTTACGCTATTCCCTAAAAATTGAAACTTACAACGATATCTTGGCCATCATCCTGACTGTCTTGACTATCTTCATTTTGTTGAGAGGGCTTGTCCTGTGTTTCTTCGCTGTCTTCCATATGAACCTATTGTAAAAACGTACAATTGCTATTCCACAAATGTATGCAAAATATGCATGGTACGAGGTAGAAAGGTGAACTTGAAAAACATACCTCTGCTATCGCCTGATCTTGTAACATTGAGTTAACATCCAATTTTTGGTGGTAACTTGGCGTGGGCTCAAAGTAATCTATAATTCTGTTTATCTCGTCTTCTGTGCGATTATGAATGTTTCTTTTTAAACAGATTTGTAAATCCATTTCCATTTCGCACACATAAACCTATAAATTGAATGCTTATGTAAAATAGTGATTTAAAAAAAAAGATTGTTCCTTGTTTTCATTGTAATAAAACTTACTTTGAAACCTTTGGTTTTAGCGAAACTCCACATTTCTTCGTAATCGGATATTTTTTCATTAATGCAATCGAGTATTATAAAGTTAAAGAAACCATCGGTGATATTCTTTTTGAAGGCTTTCACGAGCGATGTTACATAACTCTGCTCCATTGCTTCTTCATATTCATAGATCATTTCCTATAAAGTACAATTAAGTAAAATAAATTGCGTTAAAATATATTTAAATAAGATAATAATTCGTACTACCTCGGAGTCATTCGAAACTCATTATTACTCTATAGCGTGGCATACCTTAACTGTAACTTTCTTCCCATTGTCGTCCATAGATTCTATTTCTTTTTCGGCCAAAAAATAATCATCGAGACTTAAAATTCTTGGTGCGGAGCCTCCTTGCTCAACTTCTTTATCCTAGAGAAAATGTGAGAATATACGTCTAGAACTATATTCAAATAAATAGATGAATTATAATAGTCCAGAAAATATCGTTTTACTTTAATCAGTTTTGCAACAAATGATTTCCCACTGCCTGGGGGACCTCTTAAAATTATGGCTATTTTTGGTGGTCTGTTCTGACGACCCGGAGCACACAACAAGTCATCCACCATTGTAGAATTTGGTGTTTTCGGAAGTTCCAAAGTTTTTGGTGTTGACTCGGCCACATTCTGTTGTATATCTGTAACACTAAACCACGTGATTTTAATTTACTACGAGATCTTTGAGAGACAATCAAACTTTCGAGTTTATAAATGCACCAGTGAATAAAATATGACAATCCTTTTAGTACAACATAAAATAAAGAAAATTACCAATGAAATATAAATGATCACGAGTACGTAACAATCGAGATATATATATATATATAATTTATATATTCAAATTTGAACATTTATCCAATACTTGAAATATCTCTGCTAGCAGGTTCATAAGCAGAGTTCTTGCACAAACCTATGTCAAAGGTTGTACAGTATATTAAATATGAGAGTAAATAGAAATGCTGTTTAAATTATAAAAGATAGCAATAGCAATATAAAAAACCTGTAAATATGGTACACATTCTTCTATCACCCATGGCGGAGGTGAAAGAAACTGTAGAAACCATGTTGACACATAATAATACAAACACATAAAAATAAAATATGTTTGCTTTTCGTTGTTGTATGCTTAGTTGATTTTCAAACATTGTCGGTATATTTGATGCGGGAGAGAGAACATACATAAAATTTTGTTTAATAAATATCAACTTTCAAATCATCTAAAAATGCCCAAAATGTCATAAATTTCTAAAACTAGTTGTTAACTGTACTAGTCGTACATATTTAACATATATTTTAATCGTTATAAAACATGTGAAGATATCAAATTTTTCAATGTTGTTTTTTAAGTATACAATTCGATACTAATCAATACATTGACGCAAATAATATCAACACACAACACAGGATATCCCGCTTTAATTTCATCACGTCGCGACGTTATCACCGAATTTAATAGTTTAAAAAAAAATATCTCGTATCAAAGTTAGTTAGTTTCAAGAGGGGCATGTTTTAGCTAATGCATGTCCCTCGCGAAACAAACCAAGTTTCATCTGAAATATTACTTTAAACAATTACTAGATTCGGAGATAAACGTGAAAGATTAAAATTGGAGAGCCTGTGTACATGTATAAATACGATGTACATATATCGCAACTAATGAAAACCATTGGTTTTCACAAAAGTTTTGTATGCGCCAACAATATCAACACAATACATTTGTGCGGTTCAGCAGTTGAAGGGATAGCACCAACTCGCATACGCAAGTCTTCATATTTTATGCAAAATGAAATATGTCCATTTCAAATAATTTATACATTGTACACCCATTGGTATAACAATTCATAGTGTGAGTTTGTTTAAGAACACAAAAGT